AAAGTAGCCTTTTCACCCAGTTACTTTGGGAAGTGAGCCCCTCAGATGGCAAGAGTGGCTGGGAGGTGTCCGGCCCCAGCCTTGTACCAAGTAGCTATCAGGTCGCCTCTTTGTTCTAACCACACATAAAGTAGAAGACGAATTTTTAGCTTCGAAAGGCTTTTTATGCCAGCTAACATTTGCTGAATATGCTGATGCGAATCAACGCTGTTCCCCTCCCCTTCAGTTTATGCAGGTTGCCATGGTTACTCACTGATGCCACTTTCCAAAGGCGGCTGTGCTCTTGGAGCTGGGAGAAAGCCGAGGTTTGCCTTTTTCGCGTTTTATTGATCACAAACTTAGCCTTATACATTTAGACACACTTAAGAAATGTGGAATAATGCCCAAGTTCTTTGCTTCCTCCCTAAATTTCTCTTTGGCTTAGTTTCTCCCCTTTGTGACCCCCTTCCCCTTTAAGAGATAAGCCGAAGCTTTTTACAGCCACCCCCACTCCCCTTACCCCACACCCCCCCCATAAAAAGTTGTTAAGTTACTGCCCCGTGTGTCTCTTATTGTATCTACAAAGAGTTCTTTGTGACCCTGAGAACAGCCTTGTAATCTTTCTATTGCCAAAGAATTGCCATTGTATGTGTAAATAAAACAGTAGATGTTTGAAATTCAAGGAAGAATAGTAAAGTGTCTGGCCCTGACTTCTTTAAGTCAGGGGACTCTAATGACTGCTTCTATTTCCTTAGGGGTTATAGGTCTATCTGATCTTGATTTGATTTTGGTAAGTGGTATCTATCGAGAAAATTATCCATTTGATTTCTCAATTTTGTGGAGTACAGGTTTTTAAAGGAATTTATTCATTTCCTCCTTAAGGACCTCTATCATCTTCATAAAGTTGGTTCTAAGTTCTTGTACTTTATCTGTGTTGGAATATTCAGGGCTTGCTGCAGTAGGATAGCTGGCGTCTGGTCGTGACTCATCACCTGACTGCTGTTGACTGTGTTCTTATCCTGGCATCCAGGCATCTGGGTTTGGGATGGTTATAGGTCTAGGCGTTGATTTCTAAGTTTGTCTTTGTTTGATGGGTGTTTTGTTCCTTGGTTTCTCTTACCTCTCTGTTCTTTTGGTCTGTGTGACTTAAGGTTGAGTAGGGGTTCTCCTTCAGAGTTGGGGGCTGGAGTTCTGGCAGCTGGCATGGCCTCTTGTTGAAAAGGGCATCTCCATCTGAGTTGGGGGCTGGGACATGGTAGGGAGGGGAGGCGGCATTTGGACTAGCATCTGGGGTGCAGAAGGAGAATGGAGGAGGTCCTTGGGCAGGCGGTCTATCTGGGGTTCTGGTTGTCCTCGTGGCCTCTGGTCCAGCACTTGAGTCTCTGCATAAGTTTGCTTATCCATCCTTCTGGCTGGTATGGCCTGCGCTTGAGTAGGAGGTGTCTACCTGAGTTGTGCGACATTTCTGGTAGATTCCCAGGTGGTGAGAAGTGGAGTTCTCATGTACATTTATATCAAACCAAAAATTTTGATATGTATGACTCCATTTGTCCACATGAGTCTCATTTGTGAAAAAGGTTCTATTCTTCATGGATTTTTCTAGCTTCTGTTTCTTTCTGAACCGTCTCTGCACACTTGCTGTTTCTCACCTCAGTACACACACACACACACACACACACACACACACGTGTACACACACATATGGGGCTGGAGAGATGGCTCAGAGATTAAGAACACTAGCTACAGGGCCCTGAGTTCAGTTCCCAGCAACCACATGGTGACTCACAACCGTCTGTAATGAGATCTGATGCCCTTTTCCAGTATACAATCATACATGCAGGCAGAACACTATATACATAATAAATAAATCTTTAAAAAATCTATAATTTGAAGAAAACTGTGAAGCCCTGTATCATGAATACAAATTACTTACAGTTTTAGCAGACTCCTTGAGGACGCTTTCAAATTCATAGATTTCATGCGATATATCATTCTAATCCCGCATATTTATACTGTCTGCTATATGAACATCTTTATAAGCAGACGTGGTTGCTACAACTAGTGAGTGAATGCTGACGTCACTGATTGCAGTTCACGATTACTAGACTCTCATCTGGGATATGACACTGTATTTAGCTGTTACATATCTTCAGTCTTCTCTTGGTTGGGGTGAATTTTCAGAAGATCCTAGTTTTAAATGATTCTGAATATCAGTTTTGAGGATGACTGATCTGGTATATTATAGGATATTCCTGTACTGAAATTTGAGTGATTTTGGAGAGGAAGATGACAGATGTGAAATGCTAGTTTAATCACATCCTGCACAGGGTCAAAACTATACGAATCACTGTACACCATCACTATCTCCTGATGGTCTACTTAAGGTAGGCCATTTAGAAGTGTGTCTTTTTTCATCATCTGAATCTTTTATTTCTTTTTTAAAAATTGCTCTTCTTTCATCCAGTACATCCCAACTGCAGCCTGCCATCCCTCCTGGAAGTCCCACCCCTGCCACCCCCCACTCCCCAGAGCCACTGCCCTCTATTTCTCTTCAGAAAAGAGCAGCCCTCCTCTGCTCGTGGGACCTTTTCCTCCTATTGTGTTACCTCATCCAGCCTTGACATGAGGGATTGTGCCTTTGTCTTATTGCATCTTGTTACGCCATGTTCGGTTGATAAAAGGGTACCTTTTTAGGGCTAAACAATTTGGTACTGGATAACCATTTAGGAGAAGATTAATTCTCCCTCTCTCATCAGTTATTAACTGCCTATAGCTCTTACAACACTAAAAGTAGGCCATGAATTCGAGAGTGGGGAGGGAACATACAGGGACTGCAGGGAAGAGAAGGAGAGGAAATGATATAATTATATTTTAATGAAATGTAAAGAAACTGATTTTAAAAGTCAATTTCCACAGTATAATTTTTGGAAGGATGTTGCCACCTATAGCTCACACCATGGTGGAATACTGGGTTAGGTTTATCAAGAGACAGAATAATGTATCTGTCTATGTCTACCCAGGTTCCTCATGATGTCACACAATACTCTGTGCTCTGAGCCTTGTTTACCACTGCAAACTTAAATTCTTTGTTCTTTACCTAACACTGCATGCTTTGGCCGTTCACTCTTCTGTCTCCTCCCACCCTCTGATTGCTCTCTTAGCTCTTTGACATTTTTGGTGTCCATACAAGCACACAGGAATATAACTGTGTGAATATATCTCTGTGTACCTGCCATGATGTGTTTCTCAATTCTTTGTTTCATTTTTCATATATTTTACACATCTCTTATTTGGTATGGGCAGCTAAGGATCATGATGGGAGACTGTATTGATTTATTTCTGCTTTGTCTCTGTTTTTAAATTCAGTTTCTATAGTTGTTGTTTCTCCTGATTTCTCTGCACCTTCATTCCACTATAACCTCTGCATTAAAAAATAATTCTATCATTTTTGACTATAAAATGGAAAACCACATTATTACAGATATAAAGAGTTATATTTACAACACATTTGATCCTTTGACCCAGCAATTTATTCTCTAAAATTCTTCCCCAGGACACACTAATTAGTATAGACAAAATTGATCTGCTATAATTGTTAGTAGGGGTGTAAAGAAAAGCAGCCTGCTAAGTAATTGGTGAAAAAAGGAGCTGTAAAAATATATTCATATGAGATACCATAATAGAGGGAGTCATTTTAGATCTGAGGAGAGATCTGACACTAGTGAGATTTCCAGAGATCTTCAAGGATGACACCAACTGGCAAACTAAGCAATAGTGAAGAGACTACCTTAAATGCCCATCCCTGATAATGAGTTTGACTATGACCTTATATGTCATCCTAGAGCCTCCATCCAGGGACAGGCAGAAGCAGAGGCAGACACCCACAGCTACACACTGAACTGAACTCCTGGAACCCAGTGACAGAGAGGGAGGAGTGATGAGAAAAGGGGTCAAGACTGGGCTGGTGAGACCCAGAGAAACAACTGACCTGAACAAAGGGGAGATCTTGGACCCCAAACTTATGGGACTGATTCAGACCCCCTGAATGTGGGTGTCAGTGAGGAGGCCTAGGCAATCTATGGGTCTTTGAGTAGTAGATCAGTATTTATCCCTGGCACACAAATGGACTTTGGGTGCCCATCCCATAATGAGGGGTGCCCTCTCAGCCTGGACACTTGGAGGAGGGCCTAGGCCCTGCCCTGAATGAAACGACAGATTCTGGAGATCCCCCATGGAGGGCCTCACCCTCTCTGGGGAACAGAGTGGGGATTGGGGGGGGGACGGAGGGGGCTGGGAGCCGGGGGAGGAGGGGAAGGAGAGTGAGCTGGGATTGACATGTGAAGCAAGCTTGTTTCTAATTTTAATTAAAATAATTAAAATATATTCATATATTATTGTAATGGAACACTATGAAATGGTTAAAATGATATTTTCAAAAATAAAAAGTTATATTTACCCACATTGGGTTTTCATATTGTTTTACTTTCCTGAGGCATTCTATTTCATATTTATTTCTAGAATCTTTGTAACATTTTTGTGAAGTATTTTTATCATCACTAATTTAAAAATCTGTCATAATTTTGCTGCCATGTGTATTATTTAAATACGACATATAATATCATGAAACTTTCTGGTTCTTGGTATGATGAGTTCTATTCTTTGGAGACCCAGACTGTTTGGCATTATGTCCTCGATGTCTGAGTGCCCTTTACACTGCTTTCCTGACAGCAACCCAGTAGGACGAAGGGGCTCTGCCTTTAGTGCAATTGGAGGTAGACTGTGGTTTCTTGGCACCTGAGGGGGAGGGGCTCCTTGTTACAACTGGATAAGTGGGCAGGGTTTTTCTGTGCCTTTGGAGGCTGTCCTGGAACTCACTCTGTAGACCAGGCTAGTCTCGAACTCTTAGAGATCCGCCTGCCTCTGCCTCCCGAGTGCTGGGATTAAAGGCGTGCGCCACCAACCTCCAGCAACTTTTAAATGACTTTATGACATTGCCCTTACATCTCCTTCCTCCCCCATAGACAAAGTCTGGAGCTGTTGCCCAAAGGACTGGAAGGCATTTAGTTCCCACTGCTACTTCGTTTCCACTGACTCTGCAACTTGGAGCCAGAGTGAGGAGAAGTGCTCCAGCATGGGCGCTCGTCTGATGGTGGTCCACAGCAAGGAAGAGCAGGTGCATTGTGGGAGAGAGTGGGGCCTGGGGCCTGCCTGGTGTCTGCCTCTTTTTACTGCGAGGGAGTTTTGTGGGCACGGGTGTAGGTGATGTGGCAGAACGCTTTCCATCAGATAGCAGAAGGGTTGCTTCAGCCTTGGCATTCTACACCTTGCTCCTGCTTCAGTGGAGCTGAACAACCCACAAGGAACCATGGCGACAGAAATGCAAGGCCTGAGGATGGAGGGAAGGATGAACTGTTTCTGCCTGAAAGACCAGTGTGTGATTCCAGAACTCTAATGCCTCCTGTAGTAGCAACTGCTCAACAGAGGAGGGCGCAGAGCTGACCAGGGAAATGGGATGGAATCAGGAGAGTCACAGCCAGCCATCAGCAATGAAATATCTGAAGTTATGAAGGGAGAAAATGATTAATCTGCAAAATTCTGTCATGCACAACTTTCAAGAATGGTCTTGGGGAAGAAAAGAGGGGAGTGAGTCTGAGATGAGAATTCATTATGATCATGGACAGAGATTGTTTCCAGTGACATGGAAATCAGTCTATGAGTGATGACTTTGTGTCCTGGACAGATGGAGAAGTTGGCCCTCCTAGGTGTGGGGTTGGATCTTCTAGTCCTTTAGTCTTTCTCTGTCTTCTCATCCTGCGTCACCAGAAAAAGTATCACAGTGTACCTCTAAAATGTGTAATTATTGTTTATTAATCTAAAATTTGAAAAACATTTAAGGGCCTAGAGAGATGAACTAGGCTTGATTATTATATATTTGCATATGTGCATCACATTGAACCTATAATTTTGTGGAGTTAAAATAATTTTTAAAAGAGGTTATAAGATTTGTATAACAGAAAAAGCAGCCCTCCATCCAGGCTGAATGCTTTATCTTTCTTTCCTCTAGGGTTTCATCACCAAGATCCTGGAAGTTAAAGCTGCTTATTTTATCGGGCTCTCGGATCCAGGTCATCGACGGTGGCGATGGGTTGATCAGACACCATACAATGAAAGTGCCACGTGAGTCTAGAGTACCTAGAGGAGTCCTGGGCCCTGTGGCATGAGAAGACTTTAGGGTGTTCCAGCTGTTGGTTATGAAACTAAAACAGCTCACTCCTGTTGTGGCTGCTTGGGATGGTGTTACTTTTATTCCCATGTACTCATCACAGGAGTCCAGTGAGACATGTGTTACTGATACTCTAGGTAGAGACCAGGAAATTGGGTTTGAACAGTGTATAATGATAGGTACCCAGGTTACACAATCTAAGTGCTTATACCTAGGTGGGTGTTGTTATGTTTCCAGTCACTCATCTATGTTTTAAAAATTAGGATCTATGTTTACTTTAATTTGTGTGTATGTATTTGTCTCTCTGTGTGTTCCATGTGTATGTGAGTGTCCATGGAGCACATGAGAGGTTTTTGGATTCCACAGAGCTGGAGTCACAGGTGGTATGATCACGCCAATATGAGTGCTGGGAGCAGAACTCTCACATTTTCTGGAAAAGCAGCAAGCACACTTTTTTTTATTAAGTATGTTTTTTATTTAAATTAGAAACATGTCAATCCCAGCTCCCCGTTTCTCCCTCCACCAGCCCCCCCCCCACCGCCAGCCCAACCCCCACATCCTTCCCCAGGGAGGGTGAGGCCCTCCTTTGGGGGAATCTCCAAGAGTCTGTCATTTCATCCAGGGCAGGACCTAGGCCCTTCCCCAAGTGTCCAGGCTGAGAGAGCCTCCCTCCATGTGGAATGGGCTCCCAAAGTTCATTTGTGTGCCGTGGTGAACACTAATCTACTACCCAGGGCCCCAGAGATTTCTGAGGCCTCCTCACTTACACTACATTCATGAGGTCTGGATCAGTCCCTGTTGCCTCTTAGTCATCAGTCTGGGGTTCAAGAGCTGCCCCTTGTCCAGTCAGCTGTTTTTGTGGGTTTCACCAGCATGGTCTTGACCGCCTTGTTTATCACCCCTCCATCTCTGTCACTGGGTTCCAGGGTGTCAGTTCAGTGTTTAGCTGTGAGTATCTGTCTCTGCTTCCATCAGTCACAGGATCAAGGTTCTAGGATGTCACATAAGGTAGTCATCAACCTTATCATCAGGTAGGGGCTATTAATATAGTCTCTCCGCTATTACTTAGTTTTCCAGTTGTACATCTCTGGAAATCTCACTAGTGTCAGCTCTCTCCTCAAAGCTATATTAACTCCAACTATTATGGTATCTCTCATCCTGGTCTCCTCTATTCTTACCTGTAGAAAGTAGACTTTTCCTTGCCAGCAGCTTTGTTTTTTCCTTACCAGTCGTCTGGGCTCTGCTGCGCTGTAGTCCCCAAATAACACACAAGACATTGTATTAATTATGAAGCTGTTGGCCTTGCTTGTTTCTTACTGGCTAGCTCTGACTTAAGTATTTACTCCATAATTGTTAATCTAAGTATTTCTCTTACCTGAGAATAGTTCTGGACATCTTACTTCTCTGGCGTGTTACATGATGACTCCCTGTGTTTCTCCTACCCAGAGTGCTTCTCGACTCCTAGTCCCACCTATCTTGCTTCCCAATTGGCCAAAAGTGCTTTATTGACATATACACAGGACTTCCCCAACACTTACCCCAACTCAGCCTTCCTGCTCCCCCATTTCTTCTCCTTCCCTCCTCTTATCCACCCCTCTTTTTCCTAGTTCTCTCTCTTCTCCCCCCATGTTCCCAGGCTGCTCAGGAGATCTTGCCTCTTTCCACTTCTCTGGGGTATAATGCATATGTCTTGGGAACCTCCCTGTTTCCCAGACTCACTGGCCCTGGGATTGTAGGCTGACACTCTGCTGATCCATGTCTAAAATCCATATATGAGTGAGTACATACCATGTTTGTCTTTTTGTGACTGGGGTACCTCACTCAGGATGGTTTCTTCTAGTGCCATCCATTTGCCTGCATATTTCAAGAATCCATTGTTTTTTTTCCCCACTGAATAGTACTTCATTGTGTAAATGTACCACATTTTCTCTATCCACTCTTCAGTTGTGGGGCATCTAGGTTGTTCCCAGGATCTATCTATTACAAATAATACTGCTATGAACATAGTGCAACAGACATCCTTGTTGTGTGTATGGGCATCTTTTGGGTATATGCCTAAGAGTGGAATTGCTTGGTCGTGTGGTTTTCTGATTCCCATTTTCCTGAGGAATCTCCATACTGATTTCCAAAGTGGCTGTACAAGTTTGCACTCCCACCAGCAATGGATGAGTGTTCCCCTTTCTCCACATCCTCTCCAGCACAAGCTGTCATTGGTTTTTTTTGATTTTAGACATTCTGACAGGAGTAAGATGATACCTCAGGGTTGTTTTGATTTGCATTTCACAAATGGCTAAGGATGTTGAGCACTTTCTCAAGTGTCTCTCAGCCATTTTGGTTTCCTCTATTGAAAAATCTCTATTTGGGTCCTTTGGTGTTTTGGACAATAGCTTCTTGAGTTCTTTGTTAATTTTGGAGATCAGCCCTCTGTCAGATGTGGGGCTAATGAATATCTTTTCCCAACCTGCCTTTTTGTCTTGCTGACTGTGCCCTTTGCCTTACAGAAGCTACTCAGTTTCAGGAGGTCCCATTTATTAATTGTCCATCTTAGTGTCTGTGCTACTGGTGTTATGTTCAGGAAGCGGTCTCCTGTACCAATTTGTTCAAGGGTACCACCAACTTTCTCTTCTAAGAGGTTCAATATGGATGGATTTATGTTGAGGTCTTTGATCCATTTGGACTTAAGTTTTGTGCATGGCGATAGACATGGATCTATCTGCAGTCTTCCGCATGCCAATATCCAGTTATGCCAGCACCATTTGTTGAATATGCTATCTTTTTTCCATTGTATAATTTTAGCTTCTTTGTCGAAAACAGCTGTTCATAGGTTTGCGGATTAATCTCAGAGTGTTCAGTTCGATTGCACTGGTCTACCTATCTATTTTTGTGCCAATACCAAGCTGTTTTCAGGACTACAGCTCTATAATAGAGCTTGAAGTCAGGAATGGTGATGCCTCCAGATATTGCTTTGTTGAACAGGGTTGTCTTGGCTATCCTGGGTCTTTTGTTTTGCCTTATAAAGTTGAGAATTGTTCTTTCAAGGTCTGTGAAGAATTGTGCGGGGATTTGGTGGGGATTGCATTGAGTCTATAGATTGCTTTTGGCAGGATTGCCATTTTTACTACATTGATCCTACCTATCCATTTTCTGGTGTCTTCTTTAATTTCTTTCTTCAAAGACTCAAAGTTCTTTCTTTAAAGATTTATTTATTTTTTTTATATATACACCAGATTCAATTATAGATGGTTGTCAGCCACCATGTGGTTGCTGGGAATTGAACTCAGGACCTCTGGAAGAGCAGTCAGTGCTCTTAACCTCTGAGCCATCTCTCCAGCCCGACTCAAAGTTCTTGTAGCAAGCACTCTTAATGTCTGCACCATCTCTCCAGCTTTCATTTATATCTTTATGATAAAAATTGTCAAGATTGTAACTGATTATTTCTCATAAATCAAAAGCCCCAATCTGATATTGTTGTGTTTAATATTTATATAATTATTTAAAAACTCTAATATCTTAGTATATTCCCATAGTCTATCCTGATTTCTGTTGTGAGAAATAGTGATGGTATTGTTATTCTCAGTTTTCAGAGAAGAAAAGTAGGAATCCAGAATATTAAATTACTTGTCCTAGATGGCAGAAATAAGTAGATTAACTAGATATTTTAACTAGTTCTCCAGTATCTAAAATAAGACTGTTGTAAAAGTGTAAAAAAACTTTATTAAAACATGGGAATAAGGAGAGACCTTTTCAGCATGTAAATAAGCACCATGGAATGGCAGTCCCCAGGTACCAAGACCTAGGGATGAAGTAGCCTCTGGGATGTGTGTGGGAAAACAGTTAAGGGCAAGCTAAGAGGACACTGAATGCAGTGGGCCTTGTTTTCAGGGAAATGTCAGACACGGGTGGTGGAGAATGGCTGGTTTGTACACACTTGATCTGATTTCCACAAATTCCAGCCTCATCCTCAGGCTTGCTTACTCTTGCTTTTTCTTTCCCAGCATTGCTGTAGGAAACACCCTGATGCTCTTTCCTCCCTTTCAGGTTCTGGCACCCAGGTGAGCCCAACGACAACCATGAACAATGTGTTGCAATAAATAATCGACGTTCTAGTTGGGGCTGGAATGACATCCCTTGCAGTAGTAAAGAGAAGTCTGTTTGTCAAATGAAGAAAATATACTTATGAAAACCATTCTCCATGGACATGGGATTGCATTTTTATCCACCATTATACAGATACCTGGAACACTTTTCAGTGGAAGAGTTGTCCACAGGATTTAAATAGGCAGCAAATGGTCATACATATGAGGACCACATATATACGTGTTTATTCATCTACCTACTCCTTCATAAGATGACCTTTTACTTAGGATTTTCCATGTACCAGATCACTGTACATTTATCCTTTTGTGCACACATGGGGCTTTCATTTCTCTTCCAAGGTTTCATTTATTCCCATAAATGCATGCTATGTTCTCTCCATCTTATCTGTTTTTTCTCTTACTTACTCAGTCTTTGGCTTTGTTGACATGTCCTTGAGAAATAAAATTATGTATATTTAAGTTATAGTGTCTGACTTAATATGTATATTTACTATGAAATTACTATCCAAAGCAGATTAACAACATCCATTAAATAACATGGTTGCCAGTATGTGTGTGTGTGTGTGTGTGTGTGTGTGTGTTTGTGTTAAGAACACTTAAGTGCCAGGCCTTGGTGGTGCTCGCCTTTAATCCCAGCACTCAGGAGGCAGAGGCAGGTGAATCTCTATGAGTTCAAGGTCAGCCTGGCCTACAGAGTGAGTTCCAGGACAGTCTCCAAAACAATACAGAAAAATAAAAAACAAAACGAAACACATAGGACTTTCTAAGAAAGTTTAGATACTCAGGATGGTGTTAACTGTTGTCACTCAGTTGTATCTTGGGCCCTCTGTATTTACTTATATTTTATCTGGCATTTTGTGCCCTTCCCTTAACATGTCGGAGATCTCAACATCAAACTCCTACCACCAAGGATTCTTCTCTCTAACTCCTGCAGTTCACGTTTTCAGACATTGTTTATAAGTGAGATCATATACTGATACTTCTTTTACTTGTTCACCATAGACAAACACCCTCTACATTCATCCATTGCTGCACATCAGAGGATGCTCAGTTTATGATAGACTAATGTTTCAGTGTGTCTACTACACACACATGTAGTGCCCGTACAGGCGGAACACTTCTCAAGGATTCTGGAGAGAGCCTGAAGATAGAAATGAAGACAAAAGACAGTACCTCATTCTTGCAAGGAGAATGGCATTTATTGTAACAAGAGTGGATCGTTATATGCCAGTCAACAGGCACAGTGGAAAACTACCAAGGTCAGAAGCTCAGGTTCCCAGGGCCCTCTGGCAATAAGGATGGGCGGAAAACAGGAACTTGAATTCAGACAATAAGGATGGGCAGGAAACAGGAACTTGCACACAGGCCTAATTGGAAGGAGGGAAACAGGATATGCCTGCTTCTAGTCACAAGCTGGTCAGCAGTCCCTATGGGGAAAGGGTCAAACACACACAGATAGGTGTTAAACATTTAAGATCCAGTCATCCATTGACTGCTGTGGTCCATAGGACTATTTAGTGAGAACTCAGCTGGTAAATTGAGAAGCTACCCCCCCCAATCACACATTCTGATGGAGGAGACCACATTCAGGGTGGTGGGAGTCTTTGCTTTTTGAATAGTCACTGTCCTTGCTGTAAATTCCCTGTGACACCATAGCGCTCCCTTTTTAGGGTGGGATTCATCCCATAACCCCAGAAGTGTATTAATCAACTACTGGGCACACACACACACACATGTGTGTGTGTGTGTGTGTGTAGTCAGGAAGATGACTTTTCATATAGTTATGTTGGGGTACCCTGAATTGAGGAGGGGTCCCCAAGCTGGATTTGTCACCCCAAGAATCAAGAGTCCACGTGCCAATTGATGCAACATGCAAGAGGCTTTAATTAGGCATCTGAGATGGGCCTCTCGGTCAGCTTTTAGACCGATTGGCCCCGAGGTTCAGTTACAATCAGCTTTTAAAGACAAAAACCACAAGCTTTTGGGAGGGGTCCCTATCTTGTGATGGGGGGAGGGGGGTATGTGACTACTGACCAGGGGAAGTAGATGTCTTCCTGACCTACACGTTGTAAATTCCTCAAACCTTGGTATGAGTTAATCATCTCTCCCTAAGTAAATGGTGGTTATCATCTCCTTGTTTCCCACAAATCTTGTTTGCCCATCTCTGACGCCCTGGTCAGTTCTTCACAGGTGGTCAGCAGCCCGGAATTGGCCTTTTGTGGGTTTACAGCCCTTCTGCAATTAAGGTTGCTAAACCATACATCCCATTCTGTGGTTTGGCCAGTTCCTGGGATGGGGTCCTTTGTTCACTTCCCAAGTTCTCTAGTGGGGTGCCCTCCCTGTTTAAGCTTATATTTTATTTCTATAAATTCGGGGTCTTTCAGTTATATAGTTTTGATGTATAGAATATATACTGGAACTGTGGATTCTTTTTTTTTTCACTTTTTTTTTAAGAGACAGGGTTTCTCTGTATTGTTTTGGAGGCTGTCGGTCCAGCCTGGCCTCAAACTCATAGAGATCTGCCTGCCTTTGCCTCCTGAGTGCTGGGATTAAAGGCATGCGCCACCACCGCCCGGCCGGAACTGTGGACTCTTAACAGCCTGCCTTGATCTCTTATTTAGATTAACGGCACACAATGAGCTTGCTTTCACCTCAGAGCAAGTTCAAACTAGACTAAAGGCTTTTTGTAAATAGACCATAAGTGTGAAACCTTAAAGCTGTGTAAAAGGTCAGAGCCAAGGTTACTAAGAAAAGCATGCCAATTCTTCACTTGCCAGTCTGCTAACAATGGATCTGTGTTTCAAAGTTGTCATTGGGCACTGTGCTCCCCTCTCCCTTCTGGTCACAGTTTTGCTCCTATGGCTTGGGACCTTATGCTGCCATGACAATGCCTCTGCCCTTATTGCTTAGCTTGGGAATGTGCTCCTAACCAATAAGAACTATACTTTTTCTTTCTTTCTTTTTTGTTTTGTTTTTCAAGATAGGGTTTCTCTATGGCTTTGGAGGCTGTCGTGGAACTAGCTCTTGTCCAAGTGCTGGGATTAAATGTGTGGGCCACCACCACCTGGTGAGAACTATTCTTGTAATTCCTTCTTTAGCTTCAAGCCTCTGTGGGAAGGGAGATTTTTTTTATATATTTTTATTTTTAAATTTAAATTTAAATTAGAAACAAGGTTGCTTCACATGTCAATTCCAGGTCCCTCTCCGTTTCCCTCCCTTCCTCCTGTGCCCTCCCAACAACCCCCCAATATCCCCTCATTTCCCCAGGGAGGGTGAGGCTCTCCATGGGGGTGTCCATAGTCTGTCATTTCATCCAGGACAGGGCCTGGACCCTCCCCCAAGAGTTCAGGGTGAGAGTGCATCTCATATTGTTGGATGGGAGTCCAAAGTCCATTTGTATACCCGGGATAAATACGGATCTACTACCCAAGGCTCAATAGATTACCTAGGCCTCCTCACTGACACCCACATTCAGGGGGTCTTGATCAGTCCCATGCTGGATTCCCAGCCATCAGTCTGGGATTCAAGAGCTAACCCTTATCAGGTCAGCTGTTTCTGGGGGTTAAACCAGCCCAGTCTTAATGCCTCATCAGTCCTCCTTCTCTGTCACTGGATTTCTTGAGTTCAGCTCAGTGCTTAGCAGTGGGAGTCTGCCTCTGCTTTCATCAGCCACTGAATGAAGGTTCTGTTTCCCAGACTCTCTGGCCATGGGATTGTAGGCTGGCACTCCCCAGATCTGTGTCTAAAATCCATATATGAGAGAGTACATGCCATGTTTCTCTTTTTTGTGACTGGGTTACCTCGCTCAGTATGGTTTCTTCTAGTGCCATCCATTTGCCTGCAAATTTCAGGATTCCATTGTTTTTTCTGCTGAATAGTACTCCATTGTGTAAATGTACCACATTTTCTCTATCCACTCTTCGGTTGAGGGGCATCTAGGTTGCTTCCAAGTTCTGGCTATTACAAATAATGCTGCTATGAACATAGTGGAACAGACATCCTTGTTGTATGATTGGGCATCTTTTGGATATATGCCTAAGAGTGGAGTTGCTGGGTCTTGGTGGTAGGTTTATTCCCATTTTTCTGAGGACGCTCCATTCTGATTTCCAAAGCGGCTGTACAAGTTGGCACTCCCACCAGCAATGGAGGAGTGTTCCCCTTTCACCACATCGTCTCCAGCATAAATTGTCGTTGGTGTTTTTGATTTTAGCCATTCTGACAGGAGTGAGATGGTATCTCAGAGTTGTTTTGATTTGCATTTCCCGGATGGCTAAGGATGTTGAGCATTTTCTCAAGTGCCTCTCAGCCATTTTAGACTCCTCTATTGAAAATTCTCTATTTAGTTCTGTAGCCCACTTTTTAATTGGATCCTTTGGTGTTTTTGAGATTTGCTTCTTGAGTTCTTTATAAATTTTGGAGATCAGCCCTCTGTCAAATGTGGGGTTAGTGAATATTTTATCCCATTCTGTGGGCTGCCTTTTTGTCTTGCTGACTGTGTCCTTTGCCTTAACAGAAGCTTCTCAGTTTCAGGAGGTCCCATTTATTAATTGTTGATCTACTGTCTGTGCTACTGGTGTTATGTTCAGGAAGCTGTCTCCTGTACCAATTCGTTCAAGGGTACCACCCACTTTCTCTTCTAAGAGGTTCAGTGTAGCTGGATTTATGTTGAGGTCTTTGATCCATTTGGACTTAAGTTTTGTGTATGGTGGTAGACATGGATGGATCTGCATTCTTCTACATGCCAGCATCCAGTTATGCCAGCACCATTTGTTGAAGATGCTTTCTCTTTTCCATTGTATATTTTTCGCTTCTTTGTCAAAGATCAGATTTTCATACATGTGTGGGTTAAAATCAGGGTTTTCAATTCGGTTCCATTGGTCTACCTCTCTATTTTTGTGCCGATACCAAGCTGTTTTCAGGACTATAGCTCTATTAATAGAGCTTGAAGTCAGGGATGGTGATGCCTCCGGACATTGCCTTGTTGAATAGGGTTGTTTTGGCTATCCTGGGTCTTTTGTTTTTCCATACAAAATTGATTATTGTTCTTTCAAGGTCTGTGAAGAATTGTGCTGGTGTTATAATGGGGATTGCATTGAATGTATAGATTGCTTTTGGCAGGATTGCCATTTTTACTACATTGATCCTACCTATCCAAGAGCATGGGAGATCTTTCCATTTTCTGAGGGCTTCTTTAATTTCTTTCTTTAAAGACTCAAAGTTCTTGTGATACAAGTCTTTCACTTGTTTGGTTAGCATTACCCCAAGGTATTTTATGTTGTTTGTGGCAATTGTAAAGGGTAATGTTTCCTTGATTTCTCTCTCAGCCCTTTTATCATCTGTATATAGTAGGGCTTCTGATTTTCTTGGGTTGATCTTGTAGCCTGCCACTTTGCTGAAGGTGTTAATCAGCTGTAAGAGTTCCCTGGTAGAGTTCTTTGGGTCATTTAGGCAAGTTATTT